GCATAAGGCGGCGGGCGATCTCCTGTGACCACGCCAGATGCCCGCACAGTTTGCCCCGTCTCCCGTTTGAAAAGAAGCACAAAGAAAAACGGCCAGGACATTGGTCCTGGGTGTTTTTCTATGTTAACGCATGCCTCCCCACTACTATCAAGTAAAGAGACCTGCTATTCTGAGAAACTCCCATCTCCTGCCTCCACCAGGTCTGATCATGATCATTTAGTGTGGGAACACCATCTAAAGCTCACTTAAGGAATAATGCAAAGACACGTTTCTTTTAAAGCAGTTGTAATGTGTAATTGACCGTCATCATGGCATAAGTTGCCTTAACAATAGCCTTCAGCTCAATTAATGTTTAAATATTTTGATAATATTAAAAAAAGAAAACTGCCTCTTTTTTTACAACTGATCTGCAGGGGGAAACAATGCTTTAAAAACATGGTTTTGACACATCCCTGTAGTTAGATAGTAGATCCAAGCCATGAAACATCATGATAACATACTATATGCTGATTATACATTGAATAAATAACCAAAATATGGCAAACTGATTAGCGATTGTTAGACAGGACTACATTAGCTCCTGTAGCAGTCATGAAGTCATCTGCTCATGGGTTATAAAAACAAAAATCATACACAGAAAGTTCAACGACCTTCGCAACAATTAAGAAAGCAGAACTAACCCCAGTATTATTCTCTTTCAGAAAGACTTTTATGTGCGGTTGGTTATTCTCTCAGCTCCACATCGGGTTGAATTTGGTGTCCGCTGGGTATTTCTGAGGAGAGAGCCATTAGGCTTTTATTACTACAGTCTCTGCCAGGTCTCACTGGGATTACAACACGAGAGCAGCACAAGTGACGAGCGTTAAGTAAACTAAATTACAGGCTGAGCAAATGGGAGCAGTTTCTGGTCTCTCACCAGTTTGCCATGTTCTAAGTTGGCGCTGAGGAAAATTGCCATCTCTGGATGAATGCAGGGTTCTGATAAATACAGAAATGGTTTGCCATAGAGGCCTCCCCAAAGTCACAAGAATTGTAGCTGCTGTGGGATTAGAGATGTAGAAATTCCTCAGCTCTGAATCTGTGCAGTTACACATCATGGTGGAAGGTTTGCAGATGACAAAATGTGACAGTACATGGTAATTCGTTTATTGTAGTGGGAAATGTAAAAGGTAAGTATCAGGTAAGTCATTCCTGGGGTTGGTGATGAGATAAAAAAGTATGAACCCAGCGACAGGTGATGGGCAGGATTTTTCATCTAAATTGTTATCATAGAGTGCAAACGGAGTAAAACAGATGTGCAGAATCTGCCTCGATAGCATGAGGAACCATGTGAACCACATTCTCTCTATCTCTCAAATGTAAGTCTGCAGCCTCAAGCTACACGGTCAGCTTTGTAATGGGCCAAGAATTAGTGAGGCTCTGTCAATGGTGACCTCCAACTCAGTTAGGCAGGAGAATCGCCTCATCTGCAGCCAGAAAGATATTGATCTGGTTGTAGGGAACGCTGACTTTTACCAGGAGCTGAAGTCCCTGAAGCCATCACAGACTTTACTTTAAAGAAATGGCTGTACCAACACTCAGGTAACAACTGACTAACATATGACCCACATACAGGGCTGATGGTCACATCTTATGTGCAGAAAGCAGTGAACTTTTCCATGAGCTAGAAAACACTTTTACATGAAAAAGTTCCATTATTCTGAGTCCAGCTAATGTGTTTGTCCCCACACAACTGTGCAACTTAACTTGTAAAGGAAACACTAATTACAACAGGATGATAAGAGAACGCCTGGACTGCTCAGGTCAGTGTTTCTCATTAACCTTTGAATTTGGAAATGTTCTAGATTTAAAAAAAAATCTTAAGTATCTGAGCAATTACCTCGCCATGTTCTGTTCAGAGAGTAAATTGACACCAGCCTGAGCTTCATATTTTGTACATACCAGCAGAGAACATTTTCCAAACCATGTCACCAGCAACGAAGATCCCAAGAGTAATTAATGGGGGGGGGGCTAAAAACACCTCCTTCTGCTCCACTTAAAGCATTTAATCTGTAGTCTGATTTACCAGCCAGACAGGGTATTGTTTTCTCATATGTATTTAACAAAAAGCACAAAGCCTAAAGGAGAAAAAAGAATTCTGTGGTGACTCTGATATTGTGTTATGTCCATTTTGGAATTCTTTGTTCTTTTGGCAGCAGAAGTACAGAGAAATGGCATTCCTCATGCATCACACTGTTCTTCACTGATGGCATGTTGGTAGCTCTCCTGAGAAAGCTAACACTCTGTTCAGCAGTTCACTTTGGACAAAAGCTCCTGTTCTGTTAAGTATCCCGCTCCTTTTCTGCTTCAGCGATTATGAGAATTGTCAAACTTGCATCTAGCAATAACTTGTATTCTTTGGCTCCAGTGTTCTCCCTCTTCCCCAGAATGTTTAATTTTTTCCCTTTCTACGTGTTTTTTTATTAAAAAATTAAGACTTGTAATATATCCAGAGGGGGGAAATCAGCTAGCTACTCTTACATGAAGTCTGGCTTCACGGGGGAATCCCCAGCCTAATTTGTGATTAGCTCATTAGTGTCAAACAAGATATTTTCCCTTAAACAAGAACACTCCAAAGTCTGAATTCATCGGAGCTAGATCTGATTAGATCAAGTGACCGCTCAGCTGGGCCGTGTCCTTCACAAGGTCACATTAAATCCATCTTTTTTTTTGTGCCAACTAAAAAAAAAAACACATGCTGTAACAGCCATGAAATTGACAGAGCCAGATACAATTTAACACCAGATTTAGGTTTTAATAAAAAAAACTACTGTGGCTTTTTAAGTGTAATATAAACGAGAACCACCGTTTTGTTTCTTCATGAATCAGAGACGAATCATTCCATTTCTTGCTGATAATAAGGGGAGAAAATCTGGTGATGCCTGATGAAGCTGCTGGAAAACTGTCTCGTAACATTTGAAATATATCTTTTGGGAGAAAAAAAAAGGGGGGAAAAAACGACTTAGGGGAGCAATTTGCCTCTTTATTGTCTGCAGGCCAAAGCAAGTAAGGGATCTAATCAGGAGATGCAAAGTGCAGCAGTCTAATTGCATCATTAGCTAAGCCAATGACTCAGTATGAGACTTCAGCCTCATCCTGCCACCACCCCACCCTCCCCTGCCCCATCCAGAAATAGGGAGTCAAGCCTCAAGCTCTTTACTGTACAGCTGCTCAAGCAGAATAACTCGTAACATGTTATGGGCAACGGTGAAAAATGTTAAGGTTCCAGAAATATCCCGACTGAAAACCACGGCATTTAAATGACACTGCCATACAGTCGTCATTGGGACACCGTTTAAGCGGCGACTCCTGTCCTCTGGGGACTGGCAAAGATTAGTTCCTTAGCTCAGGAACATCATGTAATCGTGTTGCCTCAAAATGGCAGGCCTGGCCCCACTCATAAGGGAGGAGACTGTTGCGCTGCAAAACAGCAGGCCTGAACTTATCAAACTGTACCCACAGGCAAATGTATTAAACAGGTGCACCCTCATTATTTTCTTTTTTTTCGTGAGCTTAACAACAGTGCATCTTTCTTCGTGCAATGCAACAGCTACTGAGCCTCAGTCCTTCATGGCTCATTTCCGTTTGGTTGTATAATGGGAGGTGAAAAAAGCCACAAGAGTTGCCATTTAATTTGGATGACCCTTGACTTCTGCTTGCTGGTTCTGCATGCCTTGCTAACAATAACTGCTGTCTAGAAGTGGAAAAAGAGGCAGTTTCTCTTCAATTGAGGGTGCAGCCGACCAGAAGAGAACTTGCTTTGCATTTCCTGTCACCATGAAGTGAAAAAAAAAGCATTGATAGCACCTCCAGTTCTTCCTGTTTAAAGTGTGAACGTGGATATGAGAGCGTCAACTTGACATGACTGTCAATGAGGCTCTTGTATTCGTGACGCTGAGACATTATTGCAAAGATGCTGCAGCAGGCATTGTTTCACTAAGTGACCGTTTTAGATGACACGATGTCCAGCGGTCACGTTTAAGCGAGATCACCAGACGAAAGATTTTTAGACCGGGACATGAAGGCTCTCCCCGTCATGCCGGAGACGGAGGACTTCACCTGGCCTCCGCCGCACCGTGGATCCGCAGAGAGCGCGTGCAGCACCGTCTGGCTGCGGCGGCTGAGGATGGACAGCTTCTGGAACTGACGTCTCCATGTCGGGTCACATCTGCTGGGCCATTTCTTTCACCGTTTAAATACGACGCTGGGCAGCCTCGCGTGCGCTCCCCTGTGAACCTCTGAGCGGCGAGCACGCGGTAACCGTTACCCCCCTGGACCAACGCTGGCATTGGAGACGCCGATATCATTTCATGGTGTCCCCGGGTTGCAGGGAACTTAGGGGCTCGCCGCTCAGCAAGCTAAATACGGCTAATACAGCGACATTGTTACTAAGAAACACCCACTCTTTTAATGATATAACACCTCTCTGTGCTGCTGTAGTGTTAGGAACGTTCGAGTGTTTGGCTCATTTGAGTAGGCTTATAGCCGCTCACCGTAATCAATGTTCAAAATTCAATGGCAGGCTTAACAAATTTCCCAGGGCAACTAAACGGAGCAAAACCGTTCAGAAGTCTAAATCACGCGTGCACAAGTTAAACTTAATGAAGAATGCCCTGTGGTCTTACCTTTGGTGAAACCCTTCTCTTGCCTCTTGACTGTAGAGAAGACCCCTCCGGATTTTGTTGCTCTGACACAGCTACCACGCGCTGCATCTAAGCCCCGCCTACTGAGAGTAGATGAGCTTTCATTTGCCAATTACAGCACAACCGCAACCAAGCCGAGGCCTCTCATTGGCCAGGCTACTTGCCTATCTGTTTGTATTCTGCTTCCCGCGTTCCCAGCAGCGCTCAGAAATGCATTACATTATGCAGCCTATATTTAGGTGTCAACAACCGCTGCAGGCATGTGAAAACAAGTCACTGACCTCCAATATTTATATACCAGAGACGAAGAAAAACAGACTTGTCACATCTTTAATTACAGGTGGCATAACAGAAGCTGTAGGAAGGATGAAGAACCCATTTGTGTGATAATTCACAATGAATGAAAATCAATTTCATTTTAATTCACCCAGTCAAATTGATCATATCGTATTTCAGAGATTATTTCAGTGTCAGAACAGAAACAGAGCCCAGTTCACTGGAGAAACTGGTTTATTTCATACTAGCATAAATTAGATTTCTCTGTAATTTCAAAACTTGAATGCAGGCAGTGGTGCATACTGCTTTGATGCGTGCTGGATTGTTAAGTGACAGTCAGTCTTTCATGATAAGGGGAGCCTTGACTTGAGCTGCAACCTCAGCTCCCATGAGCTCCTCTACGATCGTCAGGGCAAACTCAAAACTGGTTCCTGGCCCACGGCTGGTGATGTAATGTCCATCTTTCTGTACTCGAGCCTCTGAATATTTATAGTGATCTATAAAAAGACAAAGAGCAATACCATAAGGATAATGGCTGTATGAGAGCTTAAAACTGCAAAACGAAGAGCCGCACATTTCAGACATCATTGAGTGCAGTAAGCACATACTCCCATATTATCCATCAACATTTAGAGTGACCCAGTTCTAGTATGTTCTGTCAAATTCCTGCATCTGCTACCACCTCTGAGTGGTGTGCTCCCTTACTGCAGAGTGGCATGATTCTCTCAAGGCAAGAAAGAGCTAGTACGGCGCCATCTGCTGCCTTTTCCATATAATTACGACTTTCTCATAAGCCACCAATTGCAAATGAAGTCTGTTTTCTTTACCTCCTGCCATCATCTTCTCCTTCATGCCGGGATGGGTGGTGACTGTGCTGCCATAGCCGATGCCGTGTGCCAGAAGAGCAGTAGGACCTGTCGAAGGGCAAAGCTGTTTAAGGTCTGTTTAACCGCTTCTTGTTGTTACAGTGACATTGAAGAACAGGTTCCATTGCTTGTGTCAGGCCTCGTCTGCATCTTTAAGGAGTCGTCAAGAGCAAAACAAGAGAGATGGCTGCATGTTGGCCTCTTTCCTTCAAAGTTAAACTCAAACTCACACATCTTAAGAAACAAAAATGCAAGCATGTGACGCAGCATCCATAATAAAATTAATTTAACAATAAATGGCTTCATGTACAAAATATCCGATAACACAGTGCCCTAAAGGTGTCCCACCTCCAACTCTGTTTCTAAGAATACACTAACAATATACACATTCAGTTTCTGTCCGAAGACTGCCCCTCGAGAAGGGAGGGAAAAAAGGAGAGAGTGAGGACACCGACTGCTGCTGCATTAACTTTGGTAATGTCCTAGCACTGCAGTGAGCTCATCCAAAAAACTGTTAATAAATAGAAAGTTATTGATTATGCTCCTTTGGCTGCCTTCCTGTGCTGTCTAAAGATTACACTTTCCCTTGGCAGAACAGCGGACTGCCGGGTAAAGCCAAGCTACTCCAGTTACCAGTCTCCACCCAGAGGACGCCAGTCTGAGGGGGGCTAGCAGCACAGAGAAGGGTGGCGATCACTTTTCTATCGGAGGAATGAGAAATGTATTTGAAACGCAATTTTCAGCACTGGAATTCTTTTTCAAATAAGCTTGATTCATGTGTCATGCTAATAAATTCCACGCTGTGGCAGAATAATAAGTCTTGCTATGAGCCCTTGTGTTGGTAGGTTCATTAAAGTGTATATTCCTGTGAGGATTTCAGTCATTTCTAGGACACCCTTCAATCCAATTTCCTGCAATAGTCCCCTGCCCCTTCTCAGAGTGCCCTTCCTATGTCCTTTCTCTGCTTTAGGAGGCCATCAAATAACATTTCAGTGATTTGGGGGGTTCACAATGACACAATAAAATAGCTTTTAAGTTAACATGCCCTTTATTCATTCATTGTGAAAAATGACTACAATTTAGCTTGGGCATTTTTTCATGTTTATATAAAATGTGTTTAAGGTGTATGCTAAAATACTAGGAAGTGGACTGAGCCACAGCCAAGCAGGACACCGATATGGCTGCCGCCTCAGCACATTTTGGGTTTTTGTCCATCTGCCGTGTAGAGCACTGTCTAATCAACCCCTCTGCTGTAGCTGGATATGAGCAGACAGCATTTCCCTGTGCACTTTACAACTCACTGGACTGCTTCTGTCACATCTTCACCACACACATATGAGGGCCACTGGAAGCCATGCAAGCTAATGCCATCACACTGTCTCCATGTGCTTTACAGATGATGTTTCTTTTGATCATCAGCCCTTTAAAGTTCTACATACTGCTGCAGTTTCATCCAAATGCAATCTGTCCACAAAATACAGTTCCACAGCTTGGCTGCCTGTTTATTAAATGTCATCTATATAGGATTTTATAAACTTTGCACCTTGCAGTGATGACTACAAACTTCTGATGGAACACCTGAATTTCTCTGTCTTCTGGATAAAAATACCTTGCAATTGAGGCTCAGTCTCTCCATACTCAATTTATAGAACTCCCGGAAGAATATGTTCTTTAATAAGAATATGTTGCAAATATATCTGAGCCTCTAACATCACTATATTCTAAGAAAAATCATGATGATAAAGTTAAAGTTGCATTTTCAGCCTTTTTAGCCTTGCACGAAGGTTGGCATTGTATAACTAAAACTGGCTTGTTTTCACAAACTGTACCTGCACAGATGGCTGCAATCAGGCCTTTTCTGCCATCTTGATCCTTTAACACCTCCTTCACAGCAGGAGACTGCATGAGAAAGTGGAAACCAGATGCACAGAGAGTCATTTGCAGGTCATGCGATTCCACTGTGCATATGCCGACTGTACAATAATAACACAAACAGACTAGCAGTCTTAAACACATCCATCACACACACGGCATCTCTGCAAAAATATTTGATCAGTGCAAACACCAGTTTACTAAACAAAATATCATCTCTTACATGTTGACCACATAACGACTGTTAAATTGAATAATTTAGACTTGAAGAAACATTGAGAAAACCTTAAGCATGATACAGCAAAAAAATAGATGGAACCAAAGTGTACTAAATTAACCCATGAAAAAGTCAACTAAAAAGTAGGTAAACAATAATTCGGTCTGAGTTATTGTCTATACGTTTTTGGTAGGTAAGGAGGGTCTTTAGTCTTTCCAATCATGCAAATTTGTCATCTCAAATTGCTCCAAAAAGATGCCACCATAAAACACTGTATCATAGTGTTCGAATATATATATATAACTGTTTCTATCATTTGTGCTCAATGGCACATTGGTGCCATAAAGTGATGTTGACTCAACCACAACGGAGGAATTTGCAGTATGAAAAATCACATGCGACCTTTTCTAGACAAAACACCTGTCTCTCCCAACAGCGTCAGTCTCATCCAACACAGCCAGAGAAAAAACAATCTTAAACCATCACAGCCTAAATTGCCAAGGATCATATTCTGTGTCAGAATTATAACTGTTGTGTCATGTCTGACACTTTGTAACTTGTTTTGTCTGACTTCCAGAACTCTATTGATGGGAAAAGCCTCTTTTTTTTTTTTTTTAAATTTAGCTGCACATCTGGTGGCATTTGAACATGTCTAATGAACCAAGTGGCTGCAGAGCAAATGTGCGAGTACTTATGTCTGTTCTTCTCACCTCTGCCAGGTTTTGGGCCCCTGGCATCCCCCCTGGCAAAAGCACCACATCATATGGTCCCTTTGACCCAAAACAAAAATCAGAAACATGATGTTACAGAACACTGATTAAATACTTCACAAAACAAAGACACAACAGGTTTGCATCATTACTTTGGACATATTTTAGGTTTTGTGGCTCAGTTCCATTATCCAGACTGCTATCTGATTTATTTGGAGCCCCACCTGTTTGCTTGCTTCTTCTAGGCTAGCATCGGGACAGATGACGACGTTTCTGCTGCACTGGACGGGCTCTTTTCCTGTCAGACCTGCAACCGTTACTGCAATCTACAAATATGAAGAGAGTATAATAACTGGATCATGATGGCTGAACACGGAATCGGGTCTGGGCTGTTTTTAAACCAGCGTTTAATGGTTAAAAAAAACTGTCCTGGTTGAACAACACTGGACTTTGACATTTAACTTGGCCTGTGTATGGACTCACTTAAGCTCTTAAGACCGTTTACAGTGACCAACTGATTTTCAAACATGGAACCGACAATTTGGAAACAATATAAAGCAAAAAACTATTATTAAATTGCACGTTGAGTAATGTTAGCACTCAGTTTACTGTAACACAGTTAACACTTTTGCGTTTGTAACCGACTGCCTTAGTGATTACTGTGATAAATGCATGTCCAAGAGGGTGTTTTGTATCACAAAGTTACAGCCGTGTCACTGTTATGCTCCAAGGACAAACGAGAGTGACAAACTTTATTCCAAGCTAACAGACTTAGCTGCTAACTGTTAGCATGGAGGCGGCAGTGAGATACAAACCCCGGCTCTGCGCATGATGTCCACAGGGATAACAGTTTCCATCTCCTCTGCACCTTTAGACAGGATCACTAATGCTCTCTTTCCTGCCATGGCCAGCTTGCAATGGTTCTTCTGCAGGTGCAGAGACAGTTCAACTTCTGTGCGCAGCTGCAGGCTGACAGGCACAAAGCGCTATGAGGATTTATCAGGGTGGTTGCCAGATACGTGGCTATATCCCTCTTTATGGAAATGCCCCCCCTATCATGTTGTGTGTCCACTCCTCAAAAAGCACAACAGTCAGGCTACCCATTGCAGAAAATCTCAGTCATCCAGCTTTTTTTGTTCTAGGTAGCAGCATTTAAAAACATTTAACATGTTATGCACAGAATTTAGATCCGGGATTGATATTGACATTAAATGGGCAAAGTATGGAAGGGTTTTTCTGATGTTCTCCAAGCATAATAAAAATTGGGATTGCTCTCCACTCTTTCTAGGAGCACTGGCAAACTTATCTAAATGCAATAAGAGCACAGTTAACTCAGAGAGCAAAAATAACACTGGCGCATCTAAGTTTTATTTCCCTTCACCCCCATGCAGCTTTGACTTTGATCTTAAGTTACATGATCATTTAAGGTGGATAGAGCATATCAGATTTTGATGATCGAAATGAGGCTTGAGGTTTAAAGAAAGACAAGGAAAGATACACAATGCAAGGAGAAAGAGCGTGACTAAACATAAACAGAGCACTACACTCATTTGTTAAGGGGGTTCATCAATCTCAAGACTCTCTTTGTGGCCAAATACTTAAACACTTTGTGAAATAATTGTTTTTCAGTTTCAAAATATATTTACATATATATTGCACACACACATGCACACACACGCACACACACACACACACACACAGAGGGAGAGAGAGAGAGAGAGAGAGTTTATAGCTGCAAGATAAAATTATCATCAAAACTAAAGTAAAAAGAAAAACTGATATGGAAACACAGGCTCCTTCTGCGGGTATGGGTTTATTTAAGATAAACTGTGTCTGGTTCATTTAAATTACAAATTCTTTGTGGCCATCATGGTAGCTGCATCCTTCAGGCTAAATAACAGGGGGGGCATCCAGCTTATTATCAACAATCTTTTCAAAAGCCAGCATCTGTTATGGTATTGTGTGCACAACTGCACAAGGCATAAGTGACTCATGCATCCATTAATGATGAAAGTAATGTCTACTTCTTTTGAGACAACATTATGCTGTTATGGAGAGAACATTTCTTTTTCAGCGAAGGTGTTAATAATTGCAAAAAGACTATGCTTAATTCCATTCTGCAAAATTAACAACTGAAGTGGAAAAGAGATTATACTCGATCTAAAACTGAGATTTTTTCCTTTTTAAAGCCCCTTAAAAAGCTTATGGGACATTTTAAAGATGAAACTGTGTTTTTTTTCACCAAAAGTTTTTGACAAAGGGATGTAACTTTAATTTAAAAAAAGACAACATTATGCATTTGCAAATGTGGCACTGCAACTGTTGCTATCCACTTTCTTAATAAAGCATAATTTTTGCGTGTTACGTGACTAAAACGACTTTTAACAGAAGCTGCAAGCACACGAGAAACCAAAGTGCTTCTGATAGTCCAGCCACAGTCAATACATGAATTCCTCCAGTAGATGGAGACATTTATCCTTGAATTTCCAGACAAACGTTTTACTTTGTCTTGACTCCAAAGGCAAAAAAATTAAAAAATTCTACAATAGAACACACACAAATCTGTAGTTTGGTCATAATTGGGCTTATTGTATTTTACAAGGACCACTTTACATAGCATATTGTCCAAAACATCTTTCCATTATAACCCAAACTCTAAAACAGGTCTCAAAGAAAGGAAGAGCTTCAGCATCAATCTCATGAAAGAGTTCGGAGCCCATGCTTCACTGTAAATCCAAGTCTTGATTGCTGGGCCTTTGGTGTGCAGGCGTATGTCTAGTTTATGTGCACTCTGCAACTGGGATTCACTGTTCTATTTGTACAGCAAACTAGAGCCCAGTGAAATGGCAGATTAAACAAAAGCGTAGGGGTTGCTGGCAGCAGGATGCTTGCTATGTGCCTGTGAGTGAATTCAAAAAGCAGCGGTGATTACCAGCAAACGCAGCTGGGGATCAGCTGAAACAGACCTGTGATGGCACCCAAGCTTATTTCCATACATTAAGTCACTTATGTACATGTACTTATTCCCTTTGGTGGGTTACCATCAAGTCCATGATTAAACTGTGCAAATGTTTCCAAGTGACTTGTGATTCTGCGAGAGACGACGAAACATGGGAGAGAATTGATCTAACAGTATTTGCATCCAGTTTTAGCGTCTTAGTTCAACATTTTGTTTAAGTGAAATCAACTAAAAACAATGCGCAGAAAATGTCCAAAATGACTCATAGAGGATGGTTGTCTGCTTTCCCTTACAGCCTTTCATAAGGTCCCGACAAATGTAAACTTACAAAACACCAGAAATTGATTGCTTAGAGAGCCAAATTCTTGCTTGCTTTGTCCAGATTGTGCCTCGATCATCTTTTTTTTTAAAGACAAACTAAATAAGCAAAGTTTTTTTCTTCTTTCTTTGTTGCGTACACCCTTCTTCCCTGTTTATTCACTACTACCTGTTAGCGGATCAAGATTCCAACTAGTATTATGCTAAAAATAACAATGCCCTGCAAGATATGTATTCCCTTTTCTTTTACTTCTAGTTGACAGTAGAGTAAATGTGTTCAAACATCATGATTTTACAGTCTGTAGGACATTTATGAAAATCTCATATGGTAGCTATTATCATAAGTGTGCAGAGGGTGTAGTTATTGTATTTTTATGTTTAGAAATACAAATAGCCTGTAGAGTAAAAGTGTCTTCATCAATGGCATGTTATTATTTCTCGTGAGCTGCCTCATGAGGCCTGTCTCTGCTCTGCTTTATCTGGGCCCTCACAGAGGTCTGCTCAAAAACCTGAAGGGCTTCTGGAATCAAATCTCAGGGGGGACAAGAACACAGAAAAAAAACACTTTTTTATGTTTTTTTTAATTTTCTATATTAGACAGGCACTGGATACAGAGAAAATCTTCACACTGAAATGAGGGAATTCCACAAATTACTGTTTGTCACAAAGTAATCCTGTTACCACTGCAAAGAAAATGAAACGGTGTAAACATGGAAATAAACTGCTAATATGGATGTAGCTCACAAGCAGATGCACTGCTCATTTGAGATATATGATGTTGAGCCCTGTTTCCAATCCCCGCATAGAAGAATGCCACAAAATTCAAAGTGGTAACAAAGAAATTTGCTTCTACAGGGAGAGATGAGCTAATCAAGATCAAGATTTTCTCTATTTACTCTCTGTGTTACTTCATTACAGATCAGTTTAATGCTTTTCCCTTCCCTACCTCTTGACAATCAAATAGCAGCATTCAGGGTTTGCATTTCTGCAGTCGGGAATCTGATGAATATTTAGGAGCAGTTTATCTTTCCATCTGTGCACAGGCTTTATCTTGCTTCTGTCTCACACACTGTAAGCCACTGAGTGCACGGAATGACTGACAAGCATATAATCTTGATTGCATCTTGATGCTATTACCTTATGCTGCCAAGCGCTCAGGTGACAGCTGCGAGACGGTGAGGAGATCTGGGGGAAAAGGTGACATTGAATTTTGCACACCTGCGCCTGCAAACTGCCGGTGCACTCTGACACAAGATGGCGCCAGCTGAGAGAGGACCACTGAGAGGACGTTTTCTGCAGCACAATCCGAAGAAAATGATCCAGTTGTTGTTTGTTTTGTGAATCTCCTTCTAATCATCAAAAGTTTCTGGATGTTTAATCTACTGCTTACCAAACATAAACTAAAAAATGCATATCTCTGGATGTACAATGTGTCTCAACATTCATTAAACAATTTATGTTAAATACTTGAGTATATCCAAAATGAGATTCCCGTAAATCCAATCCATGACAAATTGTTTTCAACCACAGAGGCTGCATTATAAATTAAGGCAGCACATTAATGTGTTGTTTAGCTTACTGCGTGTGTGTAACAACATGGACCAGAATTGCCTGACAGTCATTGCTGGTTGCAATAATCTGCCTCTCCTTAAATTATGTACCCCACCCAAGGAGGAAGAGGAGGAGGAGAAGAGGTGTATATTGGAGAACTCTCTGTTTTCTTTCTTCTTCTTCTCTGTCTCGCGGAGCATGGGTTTGTTTTGCTCTCAGCTCGCCTCTATTAGGTGTCTGAATGCTTTACAGTGGGGCCTATCTTCAAACAGGAGTGCTGATGATAGTGGCCCTGCAGCGGTGCACCCCCCCTCAGCCCCCAGCCCCAGCCCCAGCCCCGGCCTGCTCCTCTGCACAGAGGGCAATAAAGACACAAGACGGATTAGTGTTGTGTGCCTAACAAAGTGGTTGCCAGAGAGTGAGAGGGCCATGCCTATGGGCGCCACCACGACCCCGCTCAGCTTCGCTAGGCTCTGTCGAGGTCTCCCTCCCCTGCCTGGGCTTCCCTAAGGTCCGCTCTCTCTCAGGGAGCTCTGTGGATGTGTGATAGACTTTGAGTGGGTGAATTCATGTTGATGCTAAAGAGGCAGAGGACGCAGACAGATAATCCACGGCTTAAGCAGCACTGTAGTAACTTCCCCCCTTAAACAAGGGAACATATGTGCAAACAGTTAAATTTAATTCAATCACATATTCATGGTGACTTTTTTCCCCCGCTTAAGACAGCAAAGTCAGACAAAAAAGTTCCAACTTTGGACAAGTAGGTGCTTAAAAAGCGCAATCATGCAGTGCATCCTACACAGCAACCCCACAGCCCAAGACAGGGATAACAAGCGCCTTGTGACGCACATCTCCATGTTGATTTATCCCACTCACCATCCAGTGGAACAACGCACAGACCACAGGCTGGCTGAAGGCCCTTGGGACATCTCCGTCGCCATAACCAGGGTGCTTACACAAATGGAACACCATATAATTGTACAAGTGTGGTAAACAGAGGGGCTGTGGTCTTGTAAATGTTGTCACATTAGGTAGTAGTGTTACATCTGTCATTAATGTGGAGGAACGTGTGTGGGGGGCAGGCCAGTGAGGACGGTAGCCTCTGGTTTGATGGAGAGCCGTGTACAGGACAGGTGAACTATACAGCTGCTACCCCCGTTTTTCCCCCTTAAAAAAGCCTAGCGTGACGGATCGGGCCAGGACTCTCACACATAATGGCGCACTTTTCACACGGTAGCTGTCTCAGGCCACGTTACACACGTCTTTTAGATGGTCCATTTTGTGCGATGAGTAATGAAATTTGCGCGGGAGACTCCAGAATATGCAGACATATGGTGTCTATTAATGTTGCTTTCTCCCTTTTTTCTGCAGGAGCCCAGTAGTGTGGTCTGCCCCTGCCTGTCTGGTTATGGGTCCTCTTCATTCCTCAAGCTGGCTGCCTTTTTACTTTTGTCACGCCAGCCAGGATCTGAACAGCGGCAGGAACCGCTGTGCACAGAAGAAAGGCCAAGTTCTGTTAATACCTGGCTAAGTTTACATGTTCATTCACAGTCGATTATTGGGGATGCTCCGAGTTCTGAACTGTTTCAGTATGTCAGAGTAGAAAAGACTAAGTAGCACGATCAAGAATCAACAGATCCATTGTTTGTTTTTTTAACCTAAATATTGCAGCAAAGTTTCAGCCTTTCAGCCTATAATCACCATCACAGCAATAACTTACACATTGTGCGTTTTTTAAAAAGAAAATTACGCTGTTTGTTTGGACCATTTCTTTTGCAGTTTTATACCTGAGTATCGTTGTTTCATAAGTGAGTTTTATTCACTGCACAAAAATCCAGAATCTGTCCCTGTTTTGCCTATTCAGGGGTCAGCATGAATGTACGGTAGTGTCATTATTCAAATAAGTATGGATGCCGCCCTCAACTCTAATGGTAAAATGTGTTTTTTCCTTTCCTTGGTATTGTAATGGAAAGTATTATGGTGGTAAAAAGGCATGCAGGTGTAGTTTATTTTTACCTGTGTAAGCCTTTGTGGATTAGCACAGTTTACCAGTCCCACCCCAGCTTTTCGTATACCATCCTAACTCTGAAATTAACTGGATTCCACCCACTTAATCCCCTATTTTTCAATATAAATGCATCCTACATTATCTGACTTCATGTCTCAGACTTTCCCAGACAATTTTCCATTAAAATTCCCGGAATTGGTATGAAAACATTCCCACAAAGATGATGAGGTCTTTATTGTTGTTGAAAGGGGTGTTTGCTGCAAGGGGTGTAATTTTTCTGGGTTTTGGAGGAGACAACCCACCTAAAAATAAATCCTATGAGATCTCAATTATGTATTTTCTTTCTTTTTTTCCCTCCCCTCTCACTATTCCAAAAACGTTTGATTTCCACTTTAAAAGGAGAGTGATATATCCCTATGATTGGAAATGTTCAATGCACTTCTGGAAGTGGGTGCACTGTCCTGTGCAGATAAGGTTGCGAATGCAAGATCTGTCTCCTTGAAATAGAAGCCTGACAAACAGTGCTGTCTCTCCCAGACACAGTGGGAGAGGAGTGTGCTCAGATGGAAGTCTTTGAGACCAGCCTTTTTAATATCGGCGCCGCTGTAACATCAGTAAGGTGACATTTCAGCAGCACCATCAAGATCCAACAGTGGCCATGCTGCTTCGACAATCAATTATCCATGCATAACATCCCACCAGTGTGTGCGACATGAATCAGTCGTGGACCAGGCTTCTCCTCTGCCTTGATTCTCGAGAAAAGAGGGACCTTTCATTCGACCCTTAAGAAAGAGAGAAATGCTCTGTGTGCTGATAAGGGAATGAAGAGAGGAAAGTTGGGGGAAAAAACAGGCAAATCGGGGCTGATATTTATTTGCATTATCTTGAAAGGAGCTCAAATTGGTTTAATTTCAGTGGCTGTGAATTGTCATCCAGAGAGCACAATGTCCATCCCCATGTGAATGCCAGTGTTATGATTGAGCAGGCAGAATACATTCTTTGTATTGCTTGGTGGACTACAGGGAAGAATGCATGCTATCTGTTGCCCGAGGAGAAGGAAATATGTTTCACAGCACATATTGCTCATATCACATTTTGAGGCTGGTTTAGTTGTTACATGATTGTTATCAAGGCTATGGCTGTACGTAATTTACTTCCTCAAAAATCTGACAACTTCTCGGCAGATGTTTTTTGCTTTTTGGGTCAGGATACGCTGCTTTGACTGCATACACTGAGGTATTTAAAACCTGGGTGTTAGAAATAAAACTGACTAAACAGCATACACTTCACCTAGCCATAATCAGATCAGTGTTAAGCGGGGCCTGCACACAAACACGTATGATGTTGAGTGGAAGATTTCCTGTGTTCAAACCTCACACTAAGTGAAGTCAGAAGACCCAGTCTGGCGCAGCAGACGAGTCCCTGAACCCAGAAGCTTTCTCCAGTGTTTGACAAACAGCACCATTCCTCCCCGCCTGCCTTCATTTCCATCTGTATGCTATGACTTGGCTGTCAGCGTCCGGATTGGCCTGTAGTTTCCAGGATGAAAGGCAGAGCGAGATCCTGTTGAGTGAATAATCTTGCCAGTTTACAGAAGAGACTGGATGTCAACTTGACAGACTGTGAGTAGCACACAGATTTTGGGATTCACTGGCAATCCCATAGTCCCCTTAAGTCTGGACGTGTGAATGTGAAATCAATAGTACATCCATACAACAGTTTGTTTGCTGGACCCAGGAAAGCTTTGTTATGAAAATAAGAGTCATGGATCCTTACCTTGTGGATTGAGGACACAGAAAAGGGGGAATATAAACATGGCATTTAAGCATGAAAATCTGGAAACATTTATTTTTACAGTCAATGGAGGAAGGCACCATTAAAATACCCCTATTTATGAATTTAAAAACACGAAACCAGTTAGTGTTAATATGAAATCACTCTTGTGTAAATTCCTAATTATACTCTTCGTGAATGGCTTGCTTTTAATTACCATATTCACCTGATATGCTTTAAATCAAAACTGTCACATCCTGTAGGTAAAGCTCAGCATTTCAGACCTCTCCTGAGAGCTCCATACACTCCACATTCAAACACCTCATCCTCAGACACTGTGTCACCATGACCTGCATCACTGGAGACATTCAATAGAATCCGGTGGCACCTTTACAGACACATGCATGTGCAACAGCGTGCACATACGACATAACCGTCTGGGTTGGCACTGCCACTGCGCTCTGCTGTTTATTTGATATGCAAAGGAGCACTGTGGAGCAGCTCCACGGTCTTTGCTAAAGTACTTTACTCCTCACATAACCCAAAGTGGCAGCAGCAGCATCAGGATGAGCTCCAAGAGCGAGGTGGCTCCCTCTCAGTAATTTATAATGCACTTAACTCCTCTACCCTGTTGATTGTTTGCATTACCAAGAATCAAACAGGAGGCAAAACAAATAAAAATGCCACTTTTTATTCAGGTTTAACACTGTCAAGAGCACAAGTCTTTTATTGTGTTCCTGCTCGTTTACACCAGGAGCTGTGGAACAGAAACCAGGGATTATGGTGGGAAAGGAAAACCGCTTCAAACTGCTTTCACCAACACTTTCAAACAACAGTGACTTGAAAAAGAGAACAAAAACATCACAAGTGTCAGATGAAATGTGGTTAAAATCAAACAAAGTTTGGAAAAACGCCCAAAAATTTGATTAATGAAAACAGTTGGAAAGACTGCCCATTTGCTTTGGAGGGGAGGGGAAGGACGGGAGGGCATTATTAAATGTGCTCTGTGGAGGGCCTGCAGGTAGCTCCCAGGATCAGACACAGGGAGAGCGAGAGGGGGTTGTTTGGCTTAAGTGTTTTTTATTAGGCTAGATGGAGAACTAAACTCCATAACAGAGCTTCAGCCCTTTCTCCCAGACAGGGGCCCTCTTTCCCTTCTCACTCCAAACAGGCTCATATCAAAACAACAGACCCTCGCAGACATGCCATGCCAAAATGGCGTGCTCTCTCTCTCTCTCTCTCTTTCTTTTTCACTTGGCTCAGATTTCTCCCCATCAAAATGCTCCGCAATTTTCTTTATCGGCTGCTTCAAGCCTATTTTCTCAACATGTAAACTTGCAGTTATTGTTGTTGAGAACAAGACGACACATGGAGACCCGACTGTGAGCCTGCATGTGCACGAACACTGTAAAATGAAAGACAAACGTAGATAACTTGTACGAACTCTGGTGCGGGTGCCTTTTGTCTGTCCGCACCCTAAACCCAAAGCAAAAAATATTGTAAGCGACTCGGCCAAGTTTGAGTTTTGGCTCCACCTCTGCTCCATATTTTTTCACACAATGCCGCAGCACATATTAGAGCCAGCTGGCTCGATGACATAACTTCCTCCTCCAATTGTAACGATATAGTGACATGAACATGTGTAAGCCTGCTTTTACACTGCCCATCACTGATACCAGAACTCCCTGAACATCTGCTGTGAACAAGGACGGTAAGTTGGGGAAGGAGACCGCCCCGCTAGGCCTGTTTGCGTTAATTGACGAGCAGGAGCAGTTGTTCAAAAAAATCTCTTTGATGGAATAGCTTAATGCAAACTTTGCAGTAGCGGTTTTTTATTTAATCTAATGTATTCCTCTGAGCATGAAGTGTTGTGAAAAGTATGAGGAAATATTCCTCCCCGATGTGATGACGTGATGATGGAGGATTTTACCTTATCTCAACCCAGCTGCTGTCATTAATGGACCGCTGCGAACTCCGAAAAAAAGCCATTCCCATCTGGTTTGCCATCGACGCAACTGCTGCTGTTATATGAGTGGGAACTACAATGGTCTCCAACGGGCACAGAGGACGGAGAGAGGAGGAGGAATAATTGAGGAGAGGGACGGATCCAGTTGAAAGATCCAGCTGTTAGGCCATCTGAACCCTGGGAAAGTCTGATACTGTTTTCAATGTATGTGTGATCACCTCGCCAGCACATCAGCCTGACTTATAAAGCCTCCAAGAAAAAATGTAGAGAACAGGTGGAGGGGGAAGTTTGGCAAAGGGTGAAAAAAGGCTGAGTGCCAGGTCACTTCTTACTGCCAACATTATGTGGTACTTTGAACCCAGGTTTTTGTCCTTCCAATGCTGTAAATCATTTTCATCCAGCTACATTTCCCACAGTCCCCTTTTAAAAGTTTTTCTCTACAGGGCTGCTTCTTCAACTCCTTGTTTTCATGCACGTATGTGTCATCTTACGAACAGCTTAAAAGACAGGGTTAGGTTTTTGTTCATTTAAAAAACTGTCCCCAAGTGTTAATATGGTGCAATGCGGGTGCAGACTGAACATCATTGCATCTACTGACTCCTCTGTTTTTGTAATGTTTCATTGAACAAAACAAACAGCCAGCCCCTCAATCCAGTTTTATCCATAACCTCTGAAATGAGACTTTATGTTTCATACAAACGGCATCTCGGTTACATCAATAATCCTGCAAATGAAATCGATTTCCCCTCCCGCTCGTCCAATTCTGATCACAGCTGGGTTCCCCATATGGAGTATTAATGGGGTGGAGCACCCTGAGCCTGATCTAAAGCTGGAGAATTCTGGGCACACCACAACATCAAATCCCACTGTAATTACCTTCATGCAAACACAGGGGCCCTTTCCAGCACAATATGGGTTGAATAAATGGGATTTATGTGCATTGTTTTTGACGCTGGAATTGATCTTGAAAATTGTTTGGTGCAATTTAACAAGATGCTTAGGGAAAACTGAAGAGAACTGACTGCGTGCCACGCAAATGTCTCGTTGTGACGAGCTCAGTGTATTTGCTCTGTGTGGCTGATCTACATTTTTGACAGCAATGACTTTCTGGCACAATGCAACAATCGGCCAATCATTGTGTATCCTATAAATTCACACAACGGCGATCATGGATCCTGACAATTCTCACTCATCGTTTTCCTTAAGCAGAAATTCACCAAATTATAGATGAAACCAAGCAGACTGCTAAGCAGCTGGTTCTTCTCAATTAGCTTACATGTGTATTCCAGCTTAATTTTGGCACCACAAATAAAATGCCATTTTGTCACTAGATTATACCATTTGCATTAAGGCTATTGTCTTTGTTCCCCTAGGCTGCAGTGTTGAGAAATCACTAAACATACACAGGGCCAGGCTATATCCTGTCTTACAGACGTCCCTATCCCATCATGCACACCCCAGCCTTCTCTCTCCAGCAGGTGGGGGTGGTCATGCACCACGCAACACGGTTATGGGTTTAAGTCTGAAATCTACATACTGAAATGACTTCAGCTTTCTCTCACAATGCCAAACTTACTGGGAGTCTGATGAGTTTATTTCATCAATTCCAGAAATGCTGCAGAGAGGAAGTGGGTGGGAGGCGGACACACGCAGAACCAGAGATGGTCAGAGGGAGAGAAGAGAGCCAATTTTTGCATACAGGGGCCTGTGTCCATCATCTTCCAGAGCATATGTGTGCCCCGAGAGTTGTCCCCCTCTTCCCCGCATACATATATAGATGTGTGAAAGTTAGTTTGATGTGAATCCTCTCTGCCCTCTGAGTCGCAATGTGACTGCTGTCCATCTGCTCCGGGGTCTCAGGTGTGTGCTATCGCTTCCTCTGCCCCTGGGAACTTCCAACAGATATGCCAGTCAGCCTGGGCTGAACTGCTCTTGTAAATTGCTCACTAAACAGCCCTGCCCTGGATTCTGCATTCGGGGGAAAATCAATTATTTGACCCCCCCTTGCATTTCACAGTCCATTTTCAGCATGCTGGGGCCAATTACACCCAGCAGAAAGACTACTCTTTATGTCATTCCCACGATGACCTCCATCTTGCTGCTCCACACGGAGCACTGTTAATGCACCAACTACAAGCACTTGTGCCACGAAGGAGCGTGCTAATGCACTGGTTACCCACACTTTAGCCACACCAAGTACACCAATACAGAAGCTGAGAGGCTGCACCACTTCTGCACACATTCAGCTGCAATGTCTCTCAACAGGGAGGTGATCATCCCGTGTCCAGTGCACTGAGCGAAAGCCACTGACGGCTTGACAGCCCTAATGAAAGCTGATTACCAGGAGGCATCTATTAATTTGCCCTTAATCATGACAAAGAGAGTCTGTGGCTAACAGCTGTGAAATGGCAGCCGCCGCGTGGAAATGAGGCTCAGGGAAAGGCCGGGGACAAGGGGTTAGGCCTTGCTCTGTCATTAACTGCCTGCCATTGTGTGAGCTCGCTCAGAGCTTAGCTACAGGTAACTCAATAAGATAACACAGGGCGCACTCGGCCCTGCTCTTTGTGAAAACCAACTGCTGTGAATCCTGGGCGGCTGTGCAAAGAATAGGGGGATATTGGTTTGCATGCTCTGAGCAGGAGCTCTTATGATCCAGGTGAGAAGCTGACAGTAACAGGTTTAAGCTCTGTTCCTTCATCTGCTGCAGGGTGCTGAGGGAGAAGTCAATCACGGACTGAAGAGGTTGCTGAATAAGGAGCCGAGCCGGCTTTTCAAACAGACGGTGCAACAAATGTACGCTCAGTCAATCCCTGAATTTAGACTTTTAGAAAGTGAAATCCTTAGCCTTCCTTGTGATTCCGATTGAAATTTTAAAAATGAAGTAAAAACAACCAACTCCAGCAAATTTCATGCGGGAATGGCACGTCATAATGAAATAATCATATTTAAATATTTATGTCTGTGTCAAATCCTGGCTGTGGCTTCTTTCACAGTTTGGTGTGCTGATGCTGTGAGGAGGAGGCCCTTACAGGAGTCGGAATGATCGGTCTGGCTGCAATGTCTAATGTGGTTTATGGGACCCTCGGGAAACATTGGGAGTGGAGGTAATTACAGGGGCTGTCACAAGGTCTGTGACATAACAACACCACAGAGTATTTAACCCTTACAATGATCTGTCATGAGACTGATTACATTTGAATTACTGTTATGTTAGGAATACAAACAAATGCTTTTCAGTGTAAAACCAGACGGTGACTAATGATTTCAGAGAAAAAAACATCCCGTCCAACTTCCGTGCTGGCATTACCAGTACTGGTATTTTTTCTGGAAAAGTCATTGCTTTTTCTCTTTGGGTCATTTTCAAGTTGAGGAGTCTTCTTTTTGTGCTATCTTGTCTGTTGGTTAATCATGGTTTTCATGTGCATTCGTACTTATAACTAGAACATCCATTTAAAGCTAATAGCTCATATCTGATCCAGTCTCTGACAGAACATCTTTTTGGGTATTGACTAGACTAAAAACTAAGATGCTTTTTTTATTATTAGTGGCAGACACACTGGATAAAGACAGTCTTGGTATAAGTTTCCATCTTAAATTCATCAGTATCATTGGAGGATTAATTTGTTTCAGGAAGTTTCTGACCGTTAAGCTCAGCAAGATCATCTTTTAATAAAAGTTTAATAATCTATTCTATCCAATAGTATTATAACCAAGGCAGATTTGCACATTAAACCTGTTGGACTTGTTGAATTAAATTATTTTTCCTGAGTTGCTTAATAGATGAAGAGTAACACCAATGAAAAGTCGACCCGATCTCATGGCAATTCTGTGGTGGCTGCCCTGATTCACACTGACAAACGCTGTAGTTTAATATAAGACACAAATGTTATGCCATTACCACATTTTGTTTATTCCAATGACACGGGGCACGTCTTTGTGTCTTGCCGTGTAGATTAAATGCCCACCAAAGCTGCCCATACATCGTACTGTTCTCCTGCCACCTTCCACGTGCAATGATGCCTTTCAATGGCTCACAGTTGATTTTCTCACCGTTTCTGAAATATTTTAGCAGCTCTTTTATTTTTCAGCTTCACTTATCAATATTTTGGGGATTTTAATGCTCATGGGTATAATTTATGTGAATAAGGAATATTTACACATTTATGTTTTAACCCTTGCAAAGATAGCAGTCACTACAGTGGACAGTTGATTAAAAGCCATTTTCTTGTGTATATGCGGGCATTTATGTTTTATATGCACATAAGCCACTGAAGAAGACTGGTGCACCAAGCAACAACAAATTAAAAACTGGCCACAATAATATACTGTTAAAAAGGAGCTGAGATAGAATAAAATTAATCAAGGGGTTGAATGAGCATGAATGAGAAAAGCGACTATATCGTAGGGAAAATCTGAATAGGATGAGAACCGCATACAAAGTTCTATGTATTTTGCATTATATTGACAAATGTCAAAATGTGTTCACATTGTAATATACTGTATTTCATTAGTAAGAATTCTTAAAACGCATGGAGTGGACATCTGGGAAATTCCTTGAATAGACACTTTTTTAACAAAAGAAAAATGTCACCTTTTTTGCCTTAAAAAAAAAAAAAACACAGGAAAAAATACAGATACACACATGTATGTGTACATATATACTGTATATATATATATGTGTGTGTGTGTATGTGTGTGTAAACAGAATAGATGCAGGATAGCATGAAGTAGACAGGTCTGACCTAAGATTTATGTTATTTTCAGTGATGTTTATCTCCTCTTTTTCAACATGAATCACAATGAGCAATGCTTAGTGTTTACACGTGAACTGTTTCACCTCGGCAGATTTGTTCATTTGTTGCACAATTTTACACGGGGGAATCTGTGAAATAATACATTTGGATGACTTCCGTCATCTTGCACAGCAGTAGGACAACTGCGTTTATGTTGTGTGTGTTTATGGCGTGGCCGTAAACCCACCTGCCTCATTGAAAATCCTGTATGCACAAGCTCCACTGTCCAC